CTTAGCGAAGATAAATCTAAAGAAGGCGTTCCAAGAAGGCTCCCAAACACTTTCACGGCGTAATGGGCATACTACTGAACAAGCTACCATTAGCGCACGACATAAGGTACTATCAAGGCGACATATTCGTGGCTGCTTCCGATCCACACCAACTCAAACGCCGATACCAACAAACTATCGACTACTTAACGAACCAGAACTTCCAAATCAATACCGACAAGTCGCAACTGAACTGTACAGAACTACTTGGCTATACGCTGAACAAGCACACGCTATCTATCCCAGATCAGAAATGGAAACACATCACCCAACTACTGCAATCCAACAATCTACAACTCATCAAGAGAGCGGCACAGACCTTAGCCTACTACAAACATACTCTTAACCAGCAACTAACTATACAAAAACTCCTGACCAACAAAGTCAAGGACTCTGACATCCTTGTCATCTACTCAAAGGCATTAACCGACAAACCACAAATGACCTTTTCCACGTCCGCTGGTGAACCGCTGAAACTCTACTTGGACACATCAAACCAAGCCGCTGGCCTAGTACTGTCCAGGCATGTGTAGTACTTATGTCCTGCGGCCTGCTGTACCTGTTCCCATAAGTTAGGGATTGAGTACGCGTCTAGGGCCAAGCATTTGTTGACTTCTCTGTAGTCTATGCAGACTTTCCACTCCCCTGTCTTCTTCTTCACGAAGACTGGTCTTGCTCTCTAAGGCGATTCCGACGGGACTTGCTCTCTAAGGCGATTCCGACGGGACTATTACTCCCATACCAAGCATGTCGTCTACTTGCCGGTCCAGTTCTCTTTGCAGCTCTGGCCTTATTGGCTTGAGACCGGCCTTGGGGGGTTTGCCTTCGACTCGGAATCGTGCTTTGACCTTTACTTGGCCTATTCTGGGTCTGAGCCAGCATTTACTGTGCTGGGCCAGTATGTCCCATAGGCTGTGAACGTTGCCTCGTCTAGGTGGGTGCACATGCCTTTGACCAACTTTCTGGCGCTGCGACCAATTCTGCATCTCGTCGACTAAGCGTACCGAGTTGGTATTGCAGGCGGGGTTTTCTCTGCCTATCCCTAGCTCTGTGGCTACGTCG